CCTCCCCACCCCCCGCCCTCCCTCCTTCCCGCCGCATAATAAGTAGAAAGCAATGAGACAAATCCATACATCATTAACAGACACACTATGGAAAGCAAAAACAAAAATATATATATTCTTAAAGTCAAAGTTTGTTGAGGTTATTCCATATTTTATCCTTCCAGGAAAAAGAAAGTGAGAACAAAGCCGAGGTCGCTGGCAGAGGGTGGGAGGGAACGATTTCTGTCTGTCAATACAAGAACAGCAATCACAGCTAAAGACGAACAGACAGACAGGGCCTTACTCCCCCCTTTTCTCCCCTCGTCCTCCCCCTTTTTGTTTGTATTTGGTTTAGTTACGGTTCAGTCACTCATACATAACTAGTAGCGGTAGTAGTAGCTTTTGGTTTTGGGTTACTTTTTGGTTTTTTGGTCTGCTGCTTCGAGCGCACCTCCTCCTGCTCCTCTTCCTCCTTCTTCTCTTCTTCTTGCTTTCCCCCTGCAGCCTTTCATACCTTTGGCTCCTCCGCTCCTGACCGCTTCTCCTTCTCCTCCTCTTCTTCTTCTCCTCTTTTCTTTTGGCCCTTTGATCTGATCTTTGGAGACAAAGGAGAGGGGCAGATGGGAGGGAGGGATGGAGGGCAGGGGTTTGGGGGCAGTAAGGGGAACGCCGGTGCTTCACCTCTTTCTTTTGTTCTTTTTTTTTTTTTTGGTTTGGACTCTTTCTTATGCTTGTAGTGTGTGTGTGTGTGTGTGTGTGTGTGTGTGTTTTCCTTTGACACTGCTGAGGTTTTGTCTGGACACTCGTCTCCCGGGCGAATCCAGAGACAACGCTGCCAGAGGCGATGCTTTGGTATCCAAGAGTGACTGTCTGGTGGTAGATGAGCAGTCTGGAAGATGACATGATGATGGTATGGGGTGATAATAAATAAAAGAAGGCAAATAATGCTGAAAAATCCCAAGACTGTCCACATCTGCCTGTGGTGTGTGTATTGTTTGATAGGCAGTGTAAATACTGTTTACGTTTGAGCAAACATTCGAGATAACAATGGAAATGTTGATAATGATGATGATGGTGATGGAAATCCTGATAGAAATTTTCGTCTTGAACAGAAAATTAAAATGTAAACAATCCCAAAAAATCACTGTGGATCTTTTAAATTGACATTACCAGCTAAACAACCACCCGGATCGAATGGGATTCTCCAACGTGTGTGGTTGGTTTTATCCTATTTACGTGCCAGAAGGGTAGGTTTTGCCACAGAGTAGGATTTAATGAATGTCAGAAAGCTCAGGCATTCACAGGAAAGCTTTTTGAAGTTATTTCTATACTACGGTGTGTATGGATTGGCATCTTACCTGATGCTATGGTAATTATAGTAGTAAATCCCACCCGTCTGCCACTCCAGGCTGGTTAAAACAAACACTGTCTGTTCTAATGTATGGTAGGTTTGCACTGTAAAGAGAGAGGTAGGTAGATATCCTGCATGTGGGATCAGCTGTAAAACACTAAACTTACGTATTTGGCAATAAATACCATAAAGAGCGAAGAATACAAAATAATAGAAAAATAGATGTTTTGTAAATCTTTAACTGAAAATGAGAACGATGGAAATCCTGACTGAAATGGAAAATGTTTGGCATGAAGTAGAATGGAGTACTAAACTGATCCTGGGTCAGATCAGAATGCAAAAGTCTTTTTGAACTAAAGCTTTTCTCTCCGTTTGTTGTTTTTTTTTGTGTCATTTTTGGTTTTCAGTTTTTGGTATTTGGAGATTTTGGTTTTCATCTTTGTAAGTGTGTGTTTCTCTTCTAGCATCATCTTCTTTTTTAAATTTGGTTGCAACCACATGACCTTCCAAGCTTGTTAAACAAGTCTTTTCTTTTTGCCTCCCATCTCTCACACACAGTTTCTCATCCCTGCCCTCAGCAAGTTCATTTTTTTTCTCTCCAGACGATAAAAAGCATGGTGTTCGTTTCCCGATGCCAAGCAAAAACACTCAATGCCACCTCTCCAGCAGTAGATCATTATTTGGTTTCAAATTTCCCCCCTCCATTCTGCAGTTCTCTCTATCCTCTCCATCCTCCCTCTCTCTTTGCTTCCTCCCCTCATCCATCTGTGTATATTTTTGGCTTCAGAAGACTTCAGCGGGGAGACAGAGAAAGAGAGAGGCGAAATCAGAGATGGATCAGACAGAGAGATGGCTTTGGTTGAAAGGCGAGGTTGTAAATTTAGATTTTTAAAGCTCCTTTAACACTCTGCTTCCTCCTCTTCCTCCTCCTCGTCCTCCTCTGATAGGATACTTTGGCTGTCAGTCAGGGATCACTCGGCCATGGCCCCTCCCAGGGGCGGTGGCGAGGCTTCGCTGAAGGAACAGAAAGATGCGGGACTTGAACAAGGAGATGCGGACTCCTCGGGGCACGAGGTCGGGCTCATGAGGTCGCTGGTACCATGGGACGGAGACTGGGAGAAGGGGGGCCTTGGACCGCACCCTGCACCGCTGCTGCTGCCTCCGCTCACCAGTCCAATAGTGGGCGTGGAAGCGGTCGCCATGGAAGCGGTCACCATGGGGAGGAGAGTGGGACGGTTGAGGAAGAGGGACTGGCGGAGGGAAGCGGGACCCCCAGGTCCCCCCAGAAGCATGTGACCCGCTGCCCCCTCGAGGGTGGAGATGGGCAGCTGACCACCGCTGGCTGCCAGGGCTGGTAGGAGCGGAAGAGAGGAAGACAAGGGTATGAGTGGACAATAGTGGAGGAAGGACAGGAAGATGGGGGCATAGAGGGAAGGAGGAAGATGGACGGAGAGAAAGGGCAAGGGTTGAGAGAAAAGGAGGAGGAGGAGGAGGAGGAAAGATAAAGGGGGATGAGAAGAAAGAGAAAAAGGTGAAAGAAAGAGGAGAGAGCAGTGGGATAAAAATAGACAGAAGCGAAGGACAAAAAAGTGATGAATAACAAGTGACACATGATGAAGAGAGGTAGAAAAAGATTGAGGATGGGAGAGGAGTGAAAAGAAGAGCAGGACAAACATGTGGTGGCAGTGAAGAGGATGTCGAGGGCAGAGATGGTACAAAGCAAAAATTGAGAGAAGACAGGAGACGAGATGGAGAAAAGGATTAATGGAGGCCGAGGACCAAAAGGAGAGACGGATTGAAGAAAAACAGGCGGGGTGGATAAAAAAAGAGAAAGACATAGAGGATAGAAAGACAGACATCAGACGCAACAGTAACGGGAAACATTTAAAACCTGGATGATAGAGATGAGGACAGACTGCAGAGTGAGCGAATACAAACTCACAAACGGTCTATACACTTTGTCTCATCTACAGTACGTAATTATTGATAGGCACGTGGAAGTGATTAAAGGGTTGGTTCACCCAAGTCACAAATAAACAATTTTTAAATGAATTATAGTAGTGCCTTCCAAAACTGATGACACTAGGAATGTAAAAATATATTGCAAGACAGTTAAATCGCGAAAAAAACTAGTGAGAAAATCATATTGTGAACGCAGTACCATGAATTATATTGAATTGTAAGTTGAGTGTACATCCCTAAAGGACACTAATCCTGGAAAGACACACTGTTTATTTTTGAATGTTGAAATGCAATTTTTCAATGCTGTCAACACTACAGACAAACCTCCATTCAATTTTACTGTATTGTCTTAGAGACAGAAATCTCAAAAACTATCTGCATGGATAGATACCACTGGAGGTAAGTAAGAAAATATGTTTGTTTTTTGTGATTTGGGTGAACTGCCCCTTTAGAAATGAATATGTTTCTATTTACATTAGGAGGTGATGGATATTCAACCGTATAATGCAAGGAGACAAATGATAGCAGAGATGATAGCAAGATGAACTACACATGCACATGCACATACATACACAGACACACACAAACACACATGTCTACATGGTGGTGCATGATGGATTGTGAAAATGTGAAAATGAACAATTTTTATCTCCTCTTGTCAAGTATGTGTTGACTATCAGCACACAAGAGCCAAGTACATTAAATTTAAAAAATATATAAAATCAACAGTAGGGGGCACACTGTTCATAGAAATACAATTAATGACCTAAAGAGGTTTATTTTTTAAGGATGTGGCATCATTATATTGAGAAATAAAACCCCAAGAATCTTATATTGCAAAATGACGGCAGCAAACATCAGCCACTGCAACAGAGTGACACCTGCCGACTTTTGAATTCCAGTGTAATAGTCCGCGCTTTTATCCATTACAGCACCACGAGTGTAAACATTCATAGCGTGTGTGGCCCCAGAGGGATTCAAACCAGAAATCCTTTCACGTCAACGCTTCATTTCAACCCCCTCTTTTCACAGAGGCTCCTCTTTCTTCTCTCCTGCAGCCTACAACTCTATCAGAGCCGGCAGTGCCAGAGCTGCAGTTTCTATAACACACTGTAACCTTCTCATCAACACATGGCCCGGAGGAGGCCAGCTCTGAATGACGCCGAACAGAGCGGGAGAAAAAGGGGAAGGTCTGAATCGGCGCTATAGGCAGATGGACCACATGGCGGATTCAAAGCTGAGCTCAACGAACCTTATTTGTGATGCTTAATTGATTTGGCAGCAGATCATCTCTTTCAAAAAGGGGAATTTTGAGTGGAAACTAGTTATTTAGCCAACAGGCCTTGATATTGAGAGGGAGGGGATTGTGCCTGTTCAACTGTTTACTGTAAGCTGACTTGGCTTCCTAAGCTTTGCCATAAGGGGCTCTTGTCACTTTGTGATAATAGCAAGCTATTGTATGAGAATCAAATTGAATCTTTCACCATACTGAGCGATTCAAAAAGTTTGTGCTGAGGAGGAGGAGTGTGGCTGCGAGGGGAATTCAGTTTGGACAGAATGGATGAAGGGTGAAATGGGAAGTGGTCTTTAGAAATGGAGACTCATGAAGACTCGCAGGGCTGCAGGGGACAGCCTGCATGCACCAACATGCACGTGCACACACACACACCTTGCATGGTAGCCAGGGGATTGCTGCCAATGAGGGCCTGGTTCATCCCTGTGCTTACTCCCATCATTGTGTTCCTGAAATGTGGATGTACCGCAAATTCACATACACAGACAGACACACACACGCACACACGAACATTCACACATGTAGAGAAACAGTTGGCTTAGGTTAAGTTCAGGTTAAGTGATATAAACCCAATGTACTTGAAGGATTCAGTCTCTTCTGTACTGTGAACGTGTAACTGAGGCCCCAGCAGCTTCTTGTATTTTTGAGGAGCACCTCATGTTCTCTAACAAAACCGCACGCCTTAGCTTGTGCATGTCTCTTTGTGTGTGAACATGGAGAATTGCAGTCAAACTGGTGTAACAGCAGTCTGACATACCTTCAACAGCGAAATGCCATAGATTTCTCTGCAACATGCAGCAACGTGTGTATCAGGCGATGTCAAGCAAAACATAATAAAACTTAAACATAGAGGGTCTATAAACGTCATCAACTCAAATAACACACCTGTAAAAAGGTTGTTTCATATTTGTAGAAGAGTAAATGAGAATTGTTCAAAGAGCTGTAACTAATGATTAATTTATTATCAATACACTGTCTTTTAGATGAATTTCTTAAGAAGAAAGAATCCAACATAAGGCAATGTATTCAAATTTCTGGATCCAGTTAAAAAAACAAATATATTTATTTTACAATGATACAAACAATGAAAGCAGAAAATTCTCACATCTGTGGCGCCGGAACTGGAAATGTGTTTGGTAGATTTGCTTTTGCTTCAGTGACTTAAAAGACTAACAGATGGACACATTTTCTGTTGATCCACTAATTGTTTCTGCTGTAGGCCTACCTATAGTCATCTTGTTACTCCAGTGAAAATGAGATGAGCATACTTTAAAGAACAGGTGTATTGCTGACTGTGGGTTGAAATATTGAGGCTCTTGTTGTATGATGGACAAAAACTGCATTGACTGAAGCTAAAGTAAAGTTTTTATTTCTTTAAATTTAGCGCTACATTAACACTCACCCGGTGCTGAGCCCGTGGATCCCGAGGCTGGATGGGGCGGGACTGGCTGTGCTATGAGGGGGCGGGGTCACAGCAGAAGAGGTGGAACCTACTGCAGCCGAGCTGACGGGAGTCATGGGGCAGGATGCTGAAGGTGATGAACTGGCGGCTGAAGGGGAAGAGCAGAAGAGTAGTGTTGATGCCATAATGCCATATTGCGGGTTTGTTTGTCACTGTACGGATGAGTTACAGCGTTATTGCTAAATAAACATCAGGATCCTGAGATTTTTGAGTGTCTTCTTTAACTCCACTCAACTACAGACAGGAGAGAGAAGTTTTGCGACTGGAAAGTATTAGCCTTGGCTCAACAGGCCAATAAATTTCCAGCTGTGTTTGTTACCTGTCAGGCCATCTGTCATATCTGTGAAGCCTGGGATAACTCACACTGTAACCAAGGTCTATAAATCATGAGGACGAGTCATGACTCATGGAGGTAAACAACTCAAGATGGGACCAGTGCTTCCATGTTGTTGTCAACAAAACATCATTGTTTTCTATTTCAATCTTTCTCTCACAGAAATAATTTTTTTAAGTGACGATTCTTCCGTGTTTCATCAAACCGGCGAAAGGCTTCCGACAATACAGAAATATCAACTTCTTCCAAATAATGTCAGGACCAGTTTAATCTTCCTGTGACCGACCTTAGGGTTCCAAAAACACAATTGAGAAGCTAACCTTTAATTATTTATTGACGAGACTCTACACAGGCACAAACAGTAATTACAGCTCACCTGTTGTGCTGAGGCTGGTGGTGACCTGGGACAGACCATGACTCGATATCTGGAGAGGGAGAGAGGGAAAGAGAAATCAGGAAATATTTCCGTCCGTCTGTGAAACAAATATCAGGCCAACTTCTGAAATGACACAAAAAAAGTGGTCCAGTAGAAAAGGGTTAGTGGACTGTACCATGTGCGGGCTGTAGCAGGAGGCTTTGTGCGTCACAACAGGCGAGGTCTGGCTGGGCAGGGGAGGGGTGGTGCTGCTGGAGGGGTTGATACGTTTCTCTTTCTGCCTGCGGTTGCAGAACCAAACACGAATCACCTCCTTCTCCATGTTGAGCTGCTCCGCCATGAGCAGGATCTCCTCCGAGGTAGGCTTCTGGTTCTGAGGAGGAAAACATCAGACTGATTAGTAAATAGACGGATGAGTAGATACTGAAACCAATGTAGCTTCAGGTAAAGATGTTGAGTTATCTAAAACAGTTAGAGAGAAAGTCAAAGAAAGCACATATACAGCAAGCATTTAAATGCTACAAACAACTTGATGACCTGCATCATCAATTTAATAATTCTTTTTCATAAATGTATTTACAAAAAATAAAAGCTGAGACACCGATCATAAATCTGCTACCAGATAAATCTGTACATTTCAAGATCTGCAATAAATACCAAACCTTTCAGCTAGAAATTCAAGATGAGTTTTAATTTGTTTTTTTTTAATTAATGAGTTTTTTTTTTATACTTGGTAAATAAGTCAATCTTTACCGCGTTGAAGTTGCGCTCTAAAGCCACTCGCACGTTGGTCTCGATGCTGGTGCGCTTCTTTCTGCGTCGGCCGGGTAGACCCTCAAGGCCCAACATCGGGGAGGAGAGAGAAGATGGGCTGGGCAGCATGCTGTCCACTGCCATGGTTTCTGACAGAGAGAGAGGTAGAGGCAGAGACATAAAGACATGCAGGCCAACAGATAGAAAAGCAGTGGAAATAACCATGGTTTGCTTTAGTAGTACTGTTGTTGACATACAGTATACAAAACAATATAAATAATAATTACCTTTACCTAAAAAATTGTCAGTAACCTAATCTTAGTATCACAACATTAAAGTAAAGATGAATTATTCTATAAGACAAAAGAACAATGCAAGAAAAGAAAATGGAAACCAAGATTTGGTCCTCTGCTCAGTGTATTATTAAAGAAAAACTTGCTTTTCATTTGGCAATTCGGGCAGTAGCCTATAGACCATTTTCACAGCTAAAAGGAAGTCATACCATATTATCAAAAAAATTTAATTTTGTGCTGAGACTTCTCCATTAAAGATGTGTGCTCCTTATGGGTAATTTCTAAAATGTTAAAATCATACAAAATGAATAACTGCAGGGAACAAACTCTTCTTTCTTGATGTTGCTTTTCTAGAAACTCCAGCTCGTTTCAGATCAAATGGATGACAGACGTGTGTCAACCAGCTTAAAGACACCCGCTCTTTCAGATGTTTACCTGCATCACTCAGCCACTTCTCCAGCAGTGGTTTCAGCTTGCACATGTTCTTGAAGCTCAGGTTGAGCGCTTCAAATCGGGAGATGGTGGTCTGGCTGAAATCGTTGCCGTACAGTTTGCCCATAGCCACGCCGACGTCTCCCTGACAGAGACAGATAAACAGTGTCAGATATGAAACTGAGACTCTCTCACACACATACTCGTGTCCTCCTTCCTCTTATGTCTTTTACCTGGGTGAATCCCAGCTTGATGCGTCGTTGTTTGAAGGTGCGGGCAAACTGCTCCAGCTCCTCCAGGTCACTGGGCTCTTCCCCCATGTGACCCCCGTGACCCCCGTGACCTCCAGAAGTCAAGCCGGATGTCAGCGAGGAAGCCATGGCACTGCTGGACGCCGAGGTGGATCCCACAGACGTCACAACGCCACTGCTGCCGGTGGCGACTACAGAGCCGCCACTGCTTCCACCGACAACAACATCACCGCTCTTCTCCCTCTGTGGTGTCAGAAAGATGGAGAAGTAAATAAACAAAACATAAATAAAAAAACATATAATATTTTATGTATAGAGATTGAGCATGTAAGCCCTTAGAAATGAATAAACTCTGCATGTGCTGGTACTATGGTCTGCTGTTAAATTATACAGAGCTGTTAAGGTTTTGAAAAACATTCTCTGAAAAGAATGTATTTTTCACTCTCCAGGAATTGAAATAAACTGGTCAGTGAATACATATGAGGTAATCAACTGGGAAACATGCATAAAAAGCTATAATTTGACCCTGGGTGCCTTAACAAATTATACAGATTTGACAGGCATCATGCAACATGCCCGTCTCTTATTCTAAACAGGAGAAAAATACTATGATTTTAATATCTGGAAATAGAGTTTAACCTCAGCCTGCCACTAGGTCAGCTGGCAACAAGAAAACGCACGCAGTACGTCAAAGCAGGAATTTGACCCTGCAAGCTTTGGGAGTATCAACTAATTGACCAGACATCATGCATGATATCTGCTGCTACACACCTCATTTACATTTATCGTCTCTGTGCATAAAATACATGAACAAGCAGGGAACAAGTGCCGTCTTGTTTGACATGACTTCATCACAGCTTAATGAAAAATCTATAATGGCCCTTGGGTGTGTGGGGATGCATTCATGGATTATGTTATTGAAGATAAAGGCTGAGGAAACAAGGTGAGCTGTTTGACTTGAGAGTGAATATATCATCAAGACTCAAGATCCTCATTGGACTTCTTTTTTGTGGAATATACTTTGTATTGAGCTACACCTTTTCATTTTGGCAAAACAGATTGTTGCAACAGAGAGCTGCATGTGTCTGATAAAGCAAAACACAACCTGAAAGACAATCAAGTGTGTTTTGCATTCTGCAGGTGGGTTGCTGCAGATGATGACTGATAGTGGTCAATGTCAGTATGACAGACGCACTGTGTTGCAGAGATTCAGCATCTGTTTGATTTGCCTGAAAAATAGTTAAAGTCTATAATTTCCCTTCGCAAGTTATCTCTTTCTTTCTTTCTCTCTGTCCCACTCTCGCTCTCACACACACGCCCACACAAAGGAGTTTTCTACCTGTGCTTGGAGTCCCAGGCGAGGTGGACTTGTCAGTAGTCCTCCTGGGCTTTGCTGAGGTAGCTGGATCAGATTTGGTGTCGAGAGCAAACCTGTAAAGAAAACAATCAACCAGCCAGTCAATTAAATGATCAAATTAATTAACTGGCGAAGCAACTGGATAGACTTTTTAGTAACTGTACTTTATTAAGTGTGCATTTTATTGTAATCATAAGAACTGAAAACCAGGAGTTGTCCTCACCCTGCTGCGGCTGCTGTGCCTGTGCTGGCTGAGACAGAAGGAACTGGGCAGGAGACTGGAGAGGGTGACCCGGCATTAAAACCAGCTGCTGGAGCTGCAACAGCTGCTGGATGTCCTGCAACAAAAAACGCAAACATGGTTCAATATACAGCACAAATAAACTAAAGGTAATCACTGCCGCCTAGTGACAAACTAACAGTTAATTCATTGATTAATAAAGTTTGAAGTGTCAAAAGTACAACTAAACTTGCTTTACTCACTGTTACAAAAGTCACTGTTACTGATACTCAAAGTCTTGGCTGTTCATACCTGGGCTGTGAGCTGGATTGGCTGTGACAGGGCCAGCTGCGGTGGAGGCGGGGCTTGCTCCTGTTTGGTTGACTGTTGCTGCTGCTGCTGTTGCTGCTGGGATTGTGATTGGTTCTGCTGCTGCTGCTGTTGTTGTTGCTGGTTGGCTTGTTGCTGCGCGGCGGCGTGGGCAGCGTGAGCGGCATGGGCGGCGTGGGCAGCGTTCGACTGCTGAACGGCGGCTGCCAATAGCTGAGCCTGAGCCTGTTGGAGGAGCAGCTGCTGCTGAGCCGGGAGGAGAGCGGCAAGCTGGGGTAGAGGAGGAGGAAGAAGAGGAGGAGTGGGGCAATGGCAATGAGGAGAGAGAGAAATGAGGACAGCGAGGACAAATGAGATGAAGATGTAAATGTGCAGAAAGGGCAGGAAAGGGGATGAATGAGTGTTGAAGGACAAATCCAAGAATGACAGAAAAGAAGAGAACAAGAGAATGAGGAAGGAAGAATAAAATGCAGACAAAAGTGGAGACGAATTCGGAGAGAGAACAAAGTACAGTGTCAGCTAAGCATTCCAGGATTTGTAGGTGAATCTGTTAGCAGACAGTAGAAGCATGCCAGAGCAAGACAAGCAAGAAAAGCCACCTATTTAACTTACAGCACATTTAGCTTAGGTATTTCACGTCTCTGAAAGTGCCTCGGCAGACTTAACTACAAGTTGTGCAAGTGTTTTCATGTCCTTGAGGGCAGTTATGCACTTAAATTGAATATTTTTCCTGTGTGCTAGTGCATGACAGTTGTCACGTTACTCTGAACTAAAGGCATGTTCACACAAAGGCATGTTTGGAGCTTCATTTGACTTTGGTTCATTTTACCACATGAGAGCGAAGTGTAATTGTGCATATGAACTGAAATGACCACAAATGCTCAGATTTTAAACACAGACGTGGACATCTTGTAGCTAGCAGTTCATCATTTTTAAAAATCCTAGAGCAGTAAAATGAGCTGAGTGCAAACAAAAATCTGGAGTCCACCACGCTATGCTAAAAATTCAAGTAGAACTGGGACTGTTTTGACAAGTCATCAAACCTGTCTGTCAAATAAACAATGTGGCTACATGCATCTTTTGTTTGAAAGCCGTGCTTTACTTGTAATTGGGCAGAGTGAACAGAAACTTTTCTTCACTTTACATCAAAGAAAAAGTGCCTCGTTATGACACTCGATGTTTAAGAGATCAAAAGACTAAAATGTGCTCACCCTGGATAATAGATTATAACATTTTGCAGTTCCCTGTATGCTGTGCTCAGTACTCAGTGTTTTCATTTATAGTCTAGAAGAGCATCAGTGATAAACTGAGTTGAACTGTCCTGCTTTGAAATACATCAGACTTTTTTCTAACTCAATTCACTCTGTATTTGTGTGTGTGTGTGTGTGTGTGTGTATGTAGGTGTGTAGGTGTGTGTGTGTTGACTCACCCCTGCTAGTTGACTGCCAGCCAGCATCAACTGTGTGTGGTGGTGTTGGGCCTGCTGTTGCTGCTGTTGCTGCTGATGCTGTTGCTGCTGCTGCTGCTGCTGCTGTTGTTGCTGTTGGGAGGGAGGTGCAGCATGAGCAATGGTGATATGGGTCATCTCAGAGCTCTCCTCACTCTTTGCCTAAAGTAGATCACAAAGGTACATTTCCTGTTAGCAACCAAAGGTTTTCTAACGTCATACTCAGCACAGAATCTCTAAACTGCTATTAAATGTGACGCTGCAAGAAAATCTCTGTTTGATTACAGACTCCATATGGTCGAGTTTGAAAATCACAGGGTTAACCATGAAATATATTATTTTGTTATAGTCTTTGTGTGCAATCCCCTGGTAAATGATTCATCTTATAAATGAGAGGACACGTGAAAAACACAACTAATTGTGTGACTGTGTTGTAGTGAGAGGCAGCGAACGTAAGAGGCTGCATTCTACGTAATTGTAAGGAAATGTCAATCAGCCGGTGCACACACTTCAGTGATCAAAGCCAGTGCAAGACATTATATTTTTGTAGCCATTTTGGACCTGCAAACATACCACTTTGGACTTAATTTCAAGTTCCCGCCTCCAATCTCTGCATTTTGCCTTCTCATACATAATTATGAGTGCTGCAAAGCGTGAGTGATAAACCAGTTTGCGACCAACACTCACAAACTTTTCGTGGAGCCATGGAACAAACCACATTGTCATTAGTACTCCTTTGTTTGACTTTGACTTGAACTTGAATCCCCCTCTACTGCTGCTTACACAGATTCCCAGGTAGAAGTGTTTACCAGTCATCTGTCCAGAAGGATGAGTCAATCGTCCTCGTTTTCATGGTGTCAGAAACATTCCAAAGCAGCTGACCTCTGACCTCTAGCTGTCGTTACCTGCTCACAGACCTGTCATTACCCATCCATCACCTCTGCGCTGTGCTATATCTTTACATCTATCACTCACTGTCACCTCATTCACATCCCTTTTTTCTTCCTGCCTTTTCTCTCAGGGATCTTTGTCAGTAAGTTGGGTGGGGACAAAGTCACGTGAATCGCATAATTAGTGCTGCCTACTCAAGTTGGTCACTAAAATCATCGAACCCAACACGGTTGCATTCATGGCCACAAGCACGTAATCACACATAAAGCTGCAACATTTAGTTGATTAATTGGTAAGTGGTCAACTATCAAATAAATCGTCAACTATTTTGATAATCGATTATTTGTTGTGAGTCCTTTTTTAAAGAAATACTGTCCAAATTCTCTGATTTCAGATTCTCAAATGTCAATATTTTAGTCCTATATGTCAGTAAACTGAATATCTTTGGGTTGTGTACAAAATAAGACATTTGAGGATGTCACATTAAGCGTTGGGAAAGAGTGATCAACATCTTTCATAATTTTCTTACATTTTAATTGAGAATATGATTGACAGACTAATCTTTGAAGAAAATAATCATTAGTTGCAGCCCTAATCACATCCGTGTATGCAAGGATGTACACAAACTCGATAAAAAAATAATTACTGTTCATAGTCACACACGTAACCGTTTGACTGGTACAGGTTTTCGGCATTGAAGCTGCTGACTGCCAATATTTATGGGAGGTTATAACACACACACACACACACACACTGCATGTCTGAACTGGCTCACCTTGGTGCCAGCTGGTGTGGGAGAGAGGCTGAAGGGGCTGGTTTTCATTGGCTGGACCTGCAGCAAAACACACACAGTAAGAAAGATAAAATCACGCACACACACATCATCAGATGATAGATTCCAATGAAACACGGCCCTGAAATCTATGCCAACATGTTCCCAGTGAATCACAGTTACAGTTGTTCTCACCCTATAGCTGATTGGACAGAGCTGCTTTAAATGAGCTGATGTTGCAATCAGTCATTTAAACGTCAGTAACAAACAGAAGACAGCATCAAGTCAACAGAAATAACTGTTGAGACATGTGGATGGATTTCACAAAGATTCTGTGAATGAAGTTGCTCAAAATGAAATAAAAAGATATGTTTTTTTCCAAAACAATGCTACTCTACGAGAAGGGCTCTATCAAACAGCAGCTATCTCATTACATAACTATAATAATCATGTAGGATGATTTGAAGGGCAAATTGTTTACTACCCACTAAATATCAACCCACACTAATAAGTAACATTAAAGTAAAAAATTATTTAAGACAGAAAGCTTATTAAAAGTTTATTAAATAGAGTGCCACATTTATTATATTAAGAATGACTACAGCTAAAGTAAATACAATAAAACCTTCAGTGTTATTAGCATCAGTGTAAGGATAAAAGTAAAACACCAACCTGGTCATCAGGGCTGTTTCTGTCAGAGTCTGAAACACAGAGAGACCACGTATTAAACAGTGTGTGTGTGTGTGTGTGTGTGTGTGTGTTCAGTGGTTTGAATAAATTGTACAATTAAATAAATTGTGACTTAAAGGATGTAACATTCACTCAAGAGAGAAAAGTGCTCTCAATCACAAATTAATTCACCTTTTTTTTATTCTAAAAGGGTTCATATAATTAAAATATGATGATTGAACATGTGTAAATAAAATATATATATATATATATATATATATATATATATATAAATATTATTCGTATCATGAAATATGTATTTGTGTGTACCTGAACTGTCCCCTGGATAGTCAGCCCCAGGCTTCTCCTCCTCTGCTGCTTTAGACATCCTGATATCTGCAAGAAACACACACACACACACACACACACACACACAGATTAGAAAGGGGCATGGAAAACACAAAGAGGTACATAAGATTATGCAACATGCTTAGAAAAGAAGAGCGTTGGCTCAAATTCCAGGCCGACGGAGGAAAAACACACAGTTACCAATTGCCCTTAAAAGAACTGACAACCATACTGTATGTCACGAGCAGACAACTGAGGACACGCTGTGAGAGAGACACACACACACACACACTAATGTTGATAAATCTGACAGAGGCTGCATAATTTTATCACAAAAAAGCAGTGAAAGTGTTAATTGTGTTACTGAGAAATTAAGAATATTGAATAAAATGCAAATAGAGAAATAACGTATATTTTTAAACTTATTATTTAATTTCCATATTTGCAACTATTAAGAGCATTGTAATAATCATAAGATATATATTAATGTTTCAATTGCATTTAATTAATTCAATAATTTTATATTGGTAACAAATTCAAATGGTAGGAAATTCCTTTTTTACTACTTTTAGAAAAGAAACCTGGAGTCTTACCACAACTATTTTACAACTTGTATTTTTCAAGGAGAATCTCTTGAAATAAGAATTTTAACATTTTAGTCAAATTACTGTGTGAAAAGAAAATTGATAAAACCAAACATTTTCAGCAGAGAAATTCACACACACAACTCTTTTCTTTCGATGTCTAAAACACTTCCCTGTGTTTGCACTCTATCGTTGTCCTTGCACTCATTGCCATCCCTCATCATTCTCTTTCACCATTCACACATACAAAACAAGGGTACAAACAATCACTGCTTTTTGAACGAGAGGTCAGTCCCACAGTGCTTGTACTTGACCTTTTGCAGGTCAAAGTTCAACCGAGATCAATGGTGTCAGGAGGCATTTAAATTCAAAGAAGAGGGAACAAAACACAACTGCAACAGATCATTTCAAGAAATCCTCCTGAGTAACTGTATCTTTGACATCAAGACGTGGAAATAGAATGATATTGATATTGTTCTGTGATGACTTTTTACTCCAGTATTGGTGATGAAACCCTTTCAGAGATACATCACTGTCAAGATAAAACCATTCTTAGCTCCTAAAAAGTTCAGGTTTGGAAGATGCAGTTCGGTTTTTTACTCTGCAGTGATGATGTGGGACTTTTAAAAATGGCTCATGCTGATAATTTCATCCTGTTTTCATTAAATATGACCCGCAAACAACCAAGAGAAAACCCTGCTAAGCAAAAACTTATTTGACCCAAGAAAACTGATGATACCGTGCTCTAATTTAGGTCTTTAAATGTAAACTTTATTGACTCAGGACGTGGAACTGGGATTAAGGATCAGCTATTCATGGCAGATATCTTAACTACCCTCTTCTGTTTGCGGTGACTTCTGGGATTGCAGAAGTAATTGGTCCAAGAACGACGACGCCAGAGGAACTGCTTACCTGAGCACCAGACATTACTCAGCACTGCCGCCGCCGCCATCTTGGATAAAACACTCCTTCACCCCCTGCACTAGGCTCTTAACTTGTGTCTGTCTTGTGGTTTTATAACCCGTTTTCCCTCTTCAGCTCAAGACTTTTGCAAGAAACTGCCCGTCTATGGCACTAGCTTTGATTTGAGCTCTGTGTGATTTAGTGCACGCGGCAGGAGGTTCATGTGTCTGATAGTATCTGATAGAACCACAGCTAACATCCTCTAGCCTGCCCTTCTTCTTCTTCCTCCTTGCTATAATTATAACTTCAGCTTCTGTCCTGCTGCTTCACTGCCTCCTTTACACCCTATGGAGCACACACACACGGAAAGCCTACATTTTGTGTATGATCATGTAAGACAAGGAAAGAATGAATAGTTGAAAACAAAAGAAGAGAAAGGCTTATTGAAAATTATATATAAGCTCAGTGTGACTGTGTGTGTGTGTGTTTGTGTAATCTTATCATCAGGGTCACAGACAAGTTCAAGGTGTGATGAGAGGAGGTGGAAAGAAAGGAAGTGGGGAGGGGGGGGGGCAGACAGAATGAGACAAAGAGAAAGAGAGGTAAAAAGATGGAGTGATGTGAGGCTGCACTGACAAAGATTTTTGAATCCAGGGCAAAATAGAGGAAAATCAAAATCACACACTTCTTTACAACAATGCACATTAATGCCAACCTCAACCTGCATGATGACTTCCCACCAAAATCTGCTACTAGAAAGAGGTAAGAACAGTTTTTGGTCAATCTTTCTTCTTTGGCATCTTGTGATGTTTTTATTCATTAGATTGTATTAATGTTTTGTGCTAAATGTCAAAAGTTTTATCGTCCATCAAAGAACATGATAGAAGTAAATGTTTCTAGGTCAAAATGTGCTGTCTTAAATGAAAAATGCATTAACCGAAATCCACCGACATTATCGTGATGAAAGGGAAAATACATTTTGTTCACAGAGTGCGTGCTCGGTTAGTGGAGGGATGCAGTTGCAGATCACAACCAGATGGTGGCAGCACCCGCCTTGGAAATGCTGAGCCGGGGCTGTGTTTGTTTGTGTGTGTGCTGTACCAAGCATCATATACACAGTAATGAGTCATCTGAATCTTTTCAGTGTAAAAATAATCTTGTGCAAAAGTCTACAGTCACAGGTACACTGGGAAATAAAGGAAGAGCCTGAAACATGACCTCAAAACTAAAACTGGAATAAAATTCTCTAAATGTCTGATGTAAAGATGCAGAAACATTTTAAATACACATTTTAAAGCTGAATCAACTATATCAGATCTTCCTTAGTTACAAACACAATTTACTTTTGTGGTTTTCAGCAACAAATCACCTTCTTTATTAGGTCATTACCTGCTGGCAGTTTTCCTTTCATAGCTTCCTTCTTTATCACATTAACTAAGCTGTACACACACACACACACACCTGGATGTTGTTAATCAGATGCACTGTATTTATATTATTACAACTCAGTGATACTGGTAGCACCAACATTAGAGCTACTGTCACTACAGCTGTTAGTCCTAGTACTTGTAACAGAAGCTGCAAGAGTAGTGATACAGTGCTGATACTACTGTGACTCTTAGTATTGTTACTGCCTTTACTAATACCAGTCCAATACTATCTAAAAATACAGCAAAATGTTGGATCCATTTCATTCAAACATGGGATTAAATGTAACACACTCTACCTCAAACACACACACACACCCACACACACACTTATTATTCCAGGCTCCTTCACCCTCTCAGCATATGAAGGGAGGGACACCATAAAAATCATTTTATCATCCCCCCCACCCTTCCATCTCTCCCACCCCATAACGCCTCAACTGCCCCTAACCCCTCTGGCCATGGGGGCCTTTCGACCCCCACCCCCCTATCCACCCAGACCACCTCATATATGCTAACAAATCAAACACACCAAACCCCAAATGTCACAGATGTTCAGTATACATGAGTTGTTTTTTTTTTATCAGGTTTTAGACCAATTTACTGTTTCTTCTAATACGTTACATACACGTCTCTGCATCTACACATTCCCTCACAATAAACCTCCGCTGTCTCCCGAATGTCACAGAAAACATCACTGCGAACTCTTTGATTGTGACCATTTCTATATTGTGAACTGTTTTGGTGTAAAAATTACAGTGACCACAGTCCCAACATACTCCTCCATCCCAGGACAGATTGACTGCAGCCGCTCGGATACAAGGAAGACCCCCCCTCTCTCCACTGCTGCGTCCTTACTCCTCCTATCAGTGCTAATAGCATAGAGAGAGAGAGAGGCCGCTGGGCAGATGATGTATCTGTCTTCTGGGGTTGACATGGCCAGCCTGCCTGTGTGTGTGTATGTGTGTGTTAGAGGGGGAAAAGGGGGGGTGCAGGGTCACTGTCAGGGAATTAGAAAAGGGGGAATGAGTGAGAGAGAGGGGGGGACAGAGAGGGATAGGGGATGGCTGGAGGGGTCCTAAACTTGTCCCCCCCTCCTCCTTTTTTGCCCACCCACCCCGCCTTGGTCACGCCTGTCAGGGGCCGGTGACAGACGGCGCGTGGGTCTCTGTGTGTGTGTTTGAGGAGGGGGGGGGTTTACCCGTGCTGTTTGGCGTGTGGATGTCAGAGGTCAGGCACATGGTCTCGGCCACCTCGTGCCTCTCAGTGACACACACACACACACACACACAAGCTGCCTGCCGCCTCCCTTTTCCACCTGTCCCCTGTCACATTCACTCCCAAACAAACACACACGTCAACGAGCAAATCTGCAACCGTTGTAATGAGGAGATATTTCAAATCAGCTATGAAACAGAAACAAAACTAGAAAGGGTAAAAGCTGCAGAGAGTTATTAATTACTTACCTAAACTCTAACACAGTTACACCCTAAAACCGAATCCCTGCTCTTTTCAACTTTTATCAGTTATCACAAGTAAAGATATTTATATTACTGACTTATGTGCTGTTTATTTTCTATTACAATTTCCCAATCTTCAATTTTCATTTGTCCAACAGTTAAAAACCTAAAATACTTTTTACTGCAGCAAATCTCACACAAGAGAAGCTGAAACCAGAGAATATTTGGCCTTTTGCTTGAAAAATGACTGAAACGATTAATCAGTTATCAAAATAGTTGCCAGTTGATCTTCTGTCGCTCGTTACAGCTCTGATTATAAACAGGAACAGGAGAGACTTGAATCTGTGGGCCAAAAAGCTCCACAGCGATTACAGGATAAAAAGATTTAGATTTTCTTTACTGTAAAACTTCAACAGCACTGGTTTGCACAGAAACTATTTTTAGTCATACAATTATTGCAGCATGAGCTTTGAGATATATCTGTGTCAAAATAAGAAAATAAGTATCAGTTATCAACTCTTTAACAGCAGTTTGGTGTTCAGTGTTATGACCTCTGAATGCCATAAAAAAACATATTCCAACTTCACTGTCAGAAAGCTGTAGCTGAAATAAAACACAAAGATCTGTAAAACAACTTTGAACCCGGCTGATCGAAGAATGAGGGCATTGTTGTGAGTCTTCTATAAGTTTCACATTTGCATTAAATTGTTATTTCCTTTAGTTGTTTATATTAAAAGACAAATGACGAATTGTTGAATTTGAAGCTAAACTGAACTGGTGTCATAAATAGCAAGTGTGTGCGATTATAATTAGCAGTGCCGGTTATGTATGGCCACGTCTCTTCTTCTGCTTCAACATTTGATCCCCTACAACACAAAAGGACAATGTGTTCTATGTCTCATTTTAATGACCATCACGCCAACAAAACCCGAAGAACAGAGCTATGTATCCTATTGTCTGCATTTATGAATATATTCCGTTTTAAAGGAGCTGCTGCATGTAGACTGTACCAGCATTAAGTAACTACGTTCAGTATATTAAATCCTTTAATATAGAAATTATACTTCCAAATTATGTCACCTACTGCGTATACTACTGCGTATATTTCATTTTATATTCAACATTCTGTACCCTAGTTACTATTAACAGGGTTCACAACTTGTTGGATATTTATGTGGTCTAACAGCACATTTTGCCCCCGAAATAAACACGTTTCATACCACAAAAACAGAGATGAACATATAATGAGAATGTTTTCTTTTTCACATTAGCTGAGTTTGGCCCTTGGACCCATGAGCATATTCACACAGTTCTTACACTTCTTAAATTGCATCATCAGTAATCTGGTATTTTTTTCTCCGAGAGCTACAGTCGGCGCTCTCAGATACCCACGCCTTCACCCCTACTGAAAAATGATCCATTCTATGTCCAACCCTGGTTTAATAAGTCCAGCAGCAGAGAAACACACTACTGGGGTGCATGCCAATTCCCTAGTCATTTTCCAACATAAACCAAGTATTCTTGGATTATTGGTGAGCATTTTCGGCTCTTTGACACTACTGTGAAAACACTACAAAATAGAAAGAAGTGAGTTTTAGTGCCAACAGGTAGCTTGTACAGAAAACCTCCGGTTAACACCAGCGTGCTACTTGACTTGGTTGCTGTAAGATCTGGAAAAAAATGTGCGGTCAGTTCTTCACCTTCACGCTTCCTATTAGCATCCCTCCTCCACTCTTTTTCCTCTACTTGGTCCATTCTTGATTTATTCTGATCTCTCTCATTTCCTCTCTTGCTCTCCTCCCTCAGCTATAATATGACCATCTCACTTGAACTTCTCTCTAACCTTCCCGCTTCCATCTAAACCTCTCTACCCGTTTTCCTTCCCTTAATTCCTCCATTCCCACCTCCCTCTCTCTGTCAAATTTAATTTCTAACATCGTGTGTGTGTGTGTGTCCCCTGTGTTACATCCTCACCTTCTATAGTTTTTTTTGTATTGTCTTTAATATATTTGGATTTTGTACCAACATTTGCTAGGCTACTCTGAAGACAGATAAACACATTGGTGGAGATAATTCTCATTACGTGGACCATATTTCTGTGCAAGGTAGTGAGATGCAAACTTGAGGGTCAGCAGACTGCTAACTAGCTCACCAAGACACTT